ATCGAGATATTAATAAGGAACCAGCAGATCAAGTAGCTTTTGGAATAAAACACCAATTTTTTTAAAATTAAACACTATCTAAAGATTTGCATCGAAGCGTTTATTTTTGATAGTGATTTTAATCACTGTCAGATATCATTTACTTGATCCAACTATGCCACGTCACCACTGTGCCGCGACCCCCCTGTGCTGGGTTTTTTTACTCTTAATTAACGAATGGTCAAATTTTGACAGGTTGTTAACCAGCTTTGTAATATTACTTTATAAATTAATATAATTTTTAATTTAAGGCGGAGAGGTAGGAAATATAAAAAAATTATTTGTCGATTAACGTAACCCAACTCCACTCTAGTTAAAAATCGTTATAACTTCCGAAATATTGTGTCAAAAGTTGTCATCAACCAATAATTTTTTAATTTTTAATAATCTAGTTAAATATGTATGTTACAATTTAAAAAATAATGGTGCCACCCTAATAAGGTATAAAAAATGAATTATATGATACAAAAAAATACCATAAAGGATTTACTTAATACAATTATTTTAAGTGAAGTCATGTGAATAAAAGCGAAAAGAAAAAACCTCTATTCAGTTATTTTAATTTATTATAAGCCATTGATAACTAGAACATTTTTTTTGGAAAAGACAGCCCCCTTCCTTTTAATACATTTAATGGATTGATATTAAAAGGTACAAAATATTTAACACTCACAATTAAATCATTTTTATATATTTTTTTTTTTTTTTGTAAAATTGGGTTACATGGAGTCCATACTCCCGCCCTTCTATAGTACTATACTGTCTAAAATATGGATAAGATAATATAAAAAAATTATTTTTCATGAAATTAAATTTATAAAATAAAAAAGATAATATTAAAAAATGATTTAAAAGAACCATTTCATATTTGGTTTCCCCAATTTATCAATAGCTTTTTTTATCTAGACACATTTGTTTACAAAAAGGCACATACCTTCATTTTATATATTATATATATAAAATATATATATACTGAATTAACAAAGTACACTTTTACACAAAGTAAAAAAGTAAATGATCAGATTTTCAAAAAATTTACTTCAAATGAAAGAGTTTTTATCAAATTGATTAAGTTAAAAAAGAATTAATTATTACTATTTATACTCTTAATTAATGAATGGTCAAATTTTAACAGATTGATAAGCAGTTTTATAATATTACTTTATAAATTAATATAATTTTTAATTTAGGGCGGAGAGGTAGGATATATAAAAAAATTATTTGTCGATTAGATAGAAATCGGGATCTATTGAGATTATTATGAGGGAAATCAGTTCCATTTTAAGAAAATGTAGGGATTTAAAAAAAAAATACTTCAATAACATCTTCATTCTTTCAGATTCATATAAAATTATAAATATAAAATAGAGTACCTGCCAAAGTTGCTTGAAATGTTGATTTTAAATATTTGAAGCATTTTGTTTGATTAATTTTTTTTTATTTAAAATAAAGAATTATATGCCTTAAAAAAGTAAATTTTATTATATTTAACATAACACCTAAATAAATAAAACTATAGAGGCATTTTTAAGCTTTGAACTTTATTTAACAGCTTCATTTCTGTAACAGTTAAAATATTATAATTACGCATTGTATATTTCTTCTTTTTTTGTAAATC